TGTGGGCACAGACACAAAAATTTTTATATGCCATATTCAATATTGAAGGAAAGGAGGAGTATGTATTTTTATCATAAAGAATTAAGAGATACCGGATAAATTACACTAATGATTCGGTTGCCGTATCAGGTAACTTGTACTTTACTTGGAATTTTAGGATTCACAAATAATCCACAGAAAACCTTTAAAGACATCTATAGGACCGATAGGCTGTTCTGTTTCATTTATAAGATTTTTCAATGTGTTAAAATCAATATCTTGATCTGATAATTCTTCGTCTTCAACGTCTGATAGGTCTTCAATGATATTTTCTTCTTCATCAAAGAATAAATTCTCTACGAAAGTAATATTTTGTAAGCTCCTCCTTCCCCCATTTCTAACCGGTTTCTTGCCTTTTTTAGCTTTTTTAGTAATGAAACTAAAATTATTTTGATATGAAGAAATGGAAGAATCATTAGAAATAGCAGAATCATTGTCTGAGCTATCAATCTGCATTGGTTTTTCATAAATATCTATTACCGAAAGGTCTTCAGGAATGTCTATTTCTGGAAGTGCATTTGTAAAAGTAACAGTTGCTCTACTTGATATTTCACCTGCATCACAATAATTTTTTGTTATGCTGGTAATGATCTTTTTTATCATATGGGCTTTCCTAGTACATGGATCAACAAGTTTACCATTACAATTAATGCAATCGCAAGCTTTAAGGGAGTAGGTTGTTGAGTAGTTGGGATAATTTGTTTTTGCAATAGCTTTTTTAACAAAAGTTTTCTTTTGGTAACCCATTATAATGTAAGGAAAAATTATAAACAAGCGAAAATATATGAGTGAGAGAATATATGACGAAAGAATGAAAATATATAAATGTGAAAATATATGAGTGAAAGAGTTATAGGCAAACGAAAATAATGAGTAAAAAAATATATGAGTGAGAGCGAAAAGAACAAGAATGATAGATTCTGTTTATTAAAAGTAAGTCTTATTTATATACAATTCGAATTATTAATAGACATATCAGTATGCCGATATGCTAAAGGACTACTAAAAGCTATTATCACATTAAAATCTTTGTTTAGACAATTAAACTTTTGATTTTGACCATTATACATTTTGTTTTAGCAACTATTTTTTATTTAGATAATCACTTATCAGTATGCCAATATGCCTAACAGACTACTAAAGATTATTATCAAATGATCTTTAAACTCTTCGTTTTATAAATAAACTTTTTTTTTGGCAATTATATTTTTTTATTTTGAAATTACACTACTAATCAGTATACCGATCTTTCTAAAAAATGCTGAAAGCTATTGTCACATGATTTTTAAATTATTAAACTTTTTGTTTTAATAATTAGATGTTGGCTTCTTAAATCTATTAAAAATATCGTCATCCCAATAGGCCTTTTTTTTAATTTTAAAGATGCAAAAATTAGCTGTATCGTCGTTTAATTAATAAATTCGTTTTCCTTTAAACTCAATAAAACTATTTGTAATTAATATTTATAACATATTGTCTAATTTGTAATTAATTGTTTGTATATAAATATTATAATCAGATAAAAAATAAAGATATCCTAGACTTAATCAGCTTCTTAAATCTGTTAAAAATATCATCCCGATAGGCCTTTCTTTTAATTTTAAAGACCCAAAAAATAGCTATATCGTTATTGTTTAATCAATAAATTCTTTTTTTTAAAAATTATTTGTGATTAATATTTTTATTGTATTGTCTTATTCGTAATTAATTGTTTTAGTATATTGTATATAAATATTATAATCAGATAAAAAATAAAGCTATCCGTATTATAATATATTGATCAGGGTTTTTTAATGTAACCTGCATAATATGCACTTTAATTTCTAATAAATCAATATTATGCAAGTCCAATTAAATCCAATTTTAACTAAGATGACATTTAAACATTTATCTGCATTCCAAAAATAAAATCTGACTAAAATCTATAAATAAGTCATGTTCTCTTTTTTTTGCTTATGATAACTTTTTAACTCTTTCGTTTCATGTCATATATTATACTTTTAAGCATATGTTAGCAGATTTTACTTTTCGTGTTGGTAATATACTATACTATTACTTAAGTTACATACTTTCGCTTCACTTATATTTTATTTAATAATAACTATAGTATTGTCATTTGATAATTAGATATATAGTATTACTTTTTAGTCTAAGATAAATTTTTATAAAAGGAACATTTCATACTTTTTACTTTCTTAAAATAAAACTACTGAACTTTCGATATTACTAAAAAACCACTTTTTACATTTTTGTTTTCAAATTTTGACATTTTTGTTTTTTTACACTTGAAAAATGCGGGTAGAAATTTTTATAAAATAAATATTGTACCATGTCACAGGTCTATTTCGCTCTCCATGTCATCCTGTCGCAGTTATCATTTAAGCCAAAGCTGTAATCATTCTGTAACACCCCATCATCGAATAATCAAAACAATCGATATAATGAAAGCCGTGATAGAAGGTCCAGATCAAGGTCTCCAACAACTGACACATCCAATAATCAAGACAATCGATATAATGAAAGCCATGATAGAAGATCCAGATCAAGGTTCCCAACATCTGATCGAAACAATAGACACTGTAAAAGAAAATCCAGATCAGTGACTCCACCTGTCGATAGAAGTAATAAACATCCTAATCGCCGTTCCAAATTGCTGGATAAAAATGAAGCGGGTAAAATAAGAATATAGGAAATTGAGTATATTATTTTTTATAGAGATATTGAGAAATGGATAGGTCTAATGATATATCTTATACATATTAGATATAAGATTCTTGAAACAAGCATTTCATTCTTTAATAAACAAAGTAAGAGAGTTAAAAAAAACATCCTGACCCCCTACACCAACAACACCCCCTACACCAACCGCACCCCCTACACCAACCGCACCCCCTATACCAACTGCACCACTTACACCAAGCGAACATTATGAAGGTGGTAATACTGATAATTATCAAAGCGACGAAGAAGTGATATCATTAGTACTACTAGTCTTTCGCAACCATTAAATAATTGTGATATAATAGACCTGGAGAATGAAATAAACAATATTCGCCCCTCCAGCACCAACAAAACGAATACTAATATTACAACCAATGATGCTAGTACCAACACCTCCACTGCCGAAACCAATACCAACACCACAAGCAACAAACGAAACAAATAAAAACAGAGACAGGAAGACGATAGAAATAATCAGCAAAAACCACCAGTTTCTCCTGAACTATCTGGTGATTATCCCAGAAGGCCATGTGAGAAGTTGGAAGATATGGACAAAGATCAGATAAACTGTTTCATATGGATGTATGAATATTGCCAAGTAAAAATAGAATAGTATTCACTTGTTGATACATATATTTAAAGTAATGATAGAGCTATCGGTTTACTGAATATTTCTTTTATATGTAGAATGAAGTACTTCAAATTTTGGACGGCCTTGATAATAACTTACGCTTGGATTGCACAAAAAAATGGAGTAAAATATCTCGGTACGTATCTAAGCATACTATATCTGAAATTGGAAAGGCTTTGGAGAGTAATTTTAGGTTTAAGTTTAGTAAATTAAAGTATGTTCTCCAAAATCTTCACCAACATTGATGAAAAAAATGGAGAATCGATTCAGATCCAGTAATATCGGTGTCTAATAAAAAAAGAAAAAGCATAAACGGAAGATATCAATTGGTAAGTATAGATCTATTGCTTTATATGAAATCAAACTATAGTTATATAAGTTACAATTTTTGGTAGTTTTATTGAATAGGCCAATAATACTTTATTATATTAATAAAACTACCAATAAACTGATATTAATTATAGTTAATCTATTAAATTATAGAAAAAACTAAGAAGACTCCGAGGCATTAATTACTTGCTTAGTATCAACGATAAAAATTTTGAAGATCTTGTCTCTACAATGCATCTGGATGATTTTAAAAAAGATCTTGAAAAAATAATCAAGCACAAAGACTACCATTCAGATGAAATATCTGAAACTGATTATGAATGAACACAATTGGAATGTTGTTTAAAAGTTTGTCTCAAAAACAAGAAAAAACAAATAATTATGTAATCCATGTTTACGATAAGCCTTGGAGGTCACGAAGGGTAAGTAATTGTTATAATTTTAATTATTATAATGTAAACTATATTATTTTGCATTTCTTTGTTCTATATAAATCAGATTAAAAAGATTTTGCACCTTGTTGATGAAATTGGCGAAAAAATTTCAAAAATGAAATATAACAGAAAGCGCTGATATAATGATGGATGATAGATCGATAAATCTAAACCACTGGTTAAAGCTTCTCTTTGGACTATTTCTTCTTCATATTATTCTAACGAAGAAGACGAAGAAGATGAAGAAGATAACAAATATAAAGAAGAAGAAGAAGAAGAAGAAGAAGAAGAAAAAGAAGAAGAAGAAGAAGAAGAAGAAGAATTAGAAACTGACAATGATAATTATACACACTTATATTTATATTAGTATAATAACAAACAATATTATTTTATGTAATATATATATAGTATATAAATCTATAAATAAAAATATCTATTAACAGGTATTACTGCTATATAATTAGTATTTTGTTTACCTATAGAAAGTTTAAAAGGTATAAAATGGCTATAAATATTATAAATTGGTATAATAAAATCTCTGCTAATTATATAAAATTCTTTTTTCTATAATTCTATATTACAACATTGTAAATTATTACGATTTAGTAATAAAATCAGATTTTATGATATTGAGCCAGCAAAAACCACTTAACATATACTAAATAGTATATATGTTTTTTACTATTTAAAGGTATTTCATGCTCAAAATAAAATTGGATCTGCCTAGAAAACAATTCAGCAACTTTATTTTCTTGAATAAATTTTGCTAAAATATATGAACTTTTCTAATATTTTGGTGCTATACTTGATCTGAATATTTCAGATCCAATCTGAATATGTCCAAATTAATTTATAAGTGGATGAATGGTTGTTGATAGTCTAAGTTCACTAATAGGAACAAAAGTTGATTTATAACAATTATTGTAATAATCGACTAATAAATAGTAAATATCATCAGGCAAGACTACTTGTATATTCTCTAGATTTATCATCTCACCAGGGAAATCCTCAGTACTGATATTTATTTTACTTTTTAACTTACACAGGTCGAACTAAGACATACCGGAACAATATTGGCATGCCGATAGGACATGATATATATCTTAAAGCATACTATTATTATACTGATATTTTCGTCCTATAATTAACCAATATGTCTCTGATTTCAAACAGAGATTTGGCTAGTATAGGATACCTATTGGAACTATTATAAATTTAAATAAGGGAAATATT